ACAGCCCTAGCTCCCTCCGCAGAGTGAACTTACAGCGCCACGGAACGGGCGAGGTTGGAAGGAACCCCTACGGACCACCTACACGAGCACTTCTGCACCAATGCCAGCAGCCGCTGGAGCCGGTCATGCCCTGTGCTGATCCACGGAGCAGGCGTGCTGCAGCCCTCCTCCGCCTCCTCCTCTTCAGAGCCATCTGCTGCTCTGCAATCCTTGGAGCAATGTGGTCCACCTGTCCTGTGATCTTCTGTGTATTTGTCCTGCCCCAAGAGCGAGGAGGTTGCATGAAAAGGAGAGGACCTGCTCCTTCTCCACCCACTACCCTCTACACTCCTCTGTGATCCCTGGCTGCTGCTGTTGCCCTTGGCCTTCATAGGGTAAGGATTGAGAAATGGGAAATATGGTGCTAAGGCAGGATGGGGGAAATGGGGCTGGGAGCAGTGACTATCTGGTGTAAGCCGTTAGCTCTCCTTTTGTGAACATAAACTCAAGCAGTAGCTTGTAATGCAGCCTTAATCTTGGCCTTCTGAAGTCTGTTATAGATTTGGGCACTGGCAGTTGGGGTCCCACAGCGCCTTGTGGGACCGTTAGGAGTTCTCCTTTGAGTCAGCAGCTGGGCCTAGCAGCACCAGGCAGGACCCTGTCTCACACAGGCAAGACACCAGAGGCAGGGCGGCTGCTCATCCCAGCCAAGCGTTGGTGCCCCGAGGAGGAGGCCAGGGCACCATAACAGCCGCTGGACTCTGCAATGGGATACTGGGAAACCTCAGTTAAATCCTCCCATCTGCCTCGGAACACCTGACTCCTCCCAGCCGGCTCCCCAGGGACCTCTGGACCAAATATGCACTCTCTCTCTTTGCTCGTGTTTTCACAGAAAACCTCCCTATTCCACCTCATATTTGAACACCTCCACGTTCCTCCCATGGCAAGCTGGTGGGGAAGGCAATCCCCAGGGAAGGGAGCTCCATTTACTATGCCAGTGAATGTTGGACACTTCCAAGTAGGAAGTTCCAGGCGGAGACTGGTGATAAGAGAAGCCCTGGGAGATGCAGGTTCAAACCTCTTTCAAGCTTGGGAGAGTCCTGACCTGACATCCGGTATTTTCAAAGGAAAACACCAGCTGATGAGCTCCATGATGCTGCAGTGTTTCCCAGGTTTCCCTCATGGTCACTCAACTCCAGGAGGGTTGGTGAGCAGGATGGAGAAGGGGCTGCACCCCTGAGGCCAGGGCTTGGTCCCATCTCCCTCTTCCTGCTTGAGGCAGCCCACAGCTGCCCGCACTCACCACTGGTCTCTCAACCACCGACTGCCGAGTCACCTTGCAGGACAACAGGAGCCCCACAGCAGCACTGTTCAGCAGCTAAAACTCTGTTATCTTCTTCTAGATGGTCTTTCTGCAGGCCATCTATGGCTGGGCTGGGGACTGAGCCCGACTCAGGGCTGTCTCCACTAGCTGGTACTGCCAAATCCACCAGTCCTTTTTCACACCCCCATCAAACCCTTGCAGGGGGAGCATCAGGACAGGGGCCCTCCCGCCTCAGCCTCCGTGCTGCGCTGCAGGGCTCCTAACACGGGCTGGCCTGTTCCACCCATCCTCATCTTGTCACCGCGCTGATCCTTGGCAGTTTGACATGACCTGGTGCAGTTGGACATGATTATTAGGGAGGTGATGGAGACCTTGGGCACCGTTGCTTTGAGGAAGAAACAGAGTATCTCAGGTGAGCCCAGAGAGAGGGATCTCTCACACTTACAAGCGGAGGAGAGAGCACAGAAGGCTTCTCTACCAGGAAAGGCAGTGGTTGACAAGATGGATAGCCTCACAGTTGCCATGTGCAATGAAACACCCAGCAGGTGCCAGAGCTGAGCTCTGCCTCTCTCCATGCCCACCTGAACCCTCAAAGAACTCCAAAATCCGCCCGTGTTTTCCTGACAGCTGCCCAGCCTCTTCAGAACTCCTCAGAACAGAGTGTGAACAGTAGAACCGGGGACAGCATGTCCATCAGTGCTGCAGGAGTCCAGGTCGTGCTGGAGCACAGCCCCTTCCTTGGCCTGCGGAGCTGGGGGCAGGTCTCGGGACACCTCCGTTCTACAGGGTGCCAAAGCCAAGGAACCACAGCCCAAGCTGTGCTTTGACCCTGGGTCTTACTGCGTCGCTGCTGGAAGCCGACACAAACCACAGGCTTGTTGTGAGCTGAGATACTGCTCTGGCCCTTTATTTTTTAAGCAGCCCAGGTCCTGACTCTGCCTGAGGTGACTGCAGGTACTTGATTTGTGGCCCAAATCAGCTCATTTCACAGCAAAGCCCCAGGGAATGCCTAGGACTAGGCTTCAGCTACTTACCTGGGAAATGTTAAAAGACACCTTAACCATAAGGTTAGAGCTCTCTTGTCCTTACTCTTGTCCCAGGGTGGCAGGTTCCCTCCTGGGCTCTCCTGCCAGCAGGGCTAGTGAATGGGCTAGTGCCCTGTGAGATGCAAGGACGGGAGCAGCTCTGAGTGGTCCCCCCTTCCGCCGTGTCGCCAGGGCAGTGACTGCCCCCAGGACACCGCAGCCCTGCGGAGACGCCAGCGGGAAGCCTTCCCCTCCGCTTCACCGCATCGCAGGGTGGCAAGCTCCAGAAGTTCGTTGCTCCTGTGTAAAGAAGTGTTTTCCTTCATCTCTTTTAACCTGACAAGTGTCATTGAGTGCCCCTTAGTAGCTGCCTGAGATTTAAGAACCACAAAAATAGCCCTTGGCCCTTTCCCTTTCCAAGTGCTTACATCATGCTGATTCCTAAATGCTATGCATGGACACAGACATTCATGCTGAAATCCACAGCTTCAGGCAGGCTTGATTGTGCTTCAGGAATTCCCCCAAAAGACAAGGGACAATCCTGGAGATTATATTTATTATTGTAACAGAAGAGAGGCTGCTTTACTGATTCATATTTACAAATCTGTTGGCAAAAAGAAAAAAAAATCCAGTGTAATTTCTTAGCCTATTTTACAGCCCTGGCAAGAAGCGTTCATTTGCAATAGCAGCAAACGCCTATGGTTGATTGCCTGCTACAGCTAAGTGCAAGGAGCAGCGTGGATCACGCGACCGGTGGGCTGCGACGCAACCCACATCGCAGCGAAACGCGGCAAAGCCGGTACCTGCCCCGCTGCCCCTGCGTTCTGGGATGCAGTCCCACGAACTACATATGAATCGTGAAGTGCTTCAGGAGGCCCCATGAGCTGAGCACTGGGACAGGGTCAATGTTTGAAGCAGATGCTGACCTGTTTTTGTTGGCATGATTGACAACGCTAATCCCAACAAAGGAGCAAGACTTCCTGGCCCCCTGGACTCCAGAAGGATCTAGTACCATGAGGGAAACCCCGATCCTTGGTCCAGCTGGGCACAAACTGCCTCCTGCCAAAGAGCCCACCAGAGCAAACCTGTGCTCTGGAGCCCCCTTTGCACACCCGAAACAGCAGCAGGTTCAAGGCACTCCTGTACCTGTGGCACCTGGTGCCTGGCCCCTTCATTCAGCTACCGACCTTCCAACCAACTGCTGGCCGGGCTCAGGCGCCCTGCAATCAGGAGAGGAGGATCCCGTGTCCCCACTTGACATGGGAGGCACGAACATGAATGCAACTCTGGATGCCACCAGCAGCCTCGGCATTGTATGAACAGCCCCAACCACAGCTGGGGCCCTGCAGCAGGGCTGCTTCCAGCAGCCAGAATGCTCCAAAGGAGGAGAAGGGTCCCACCAGGACAGCACACAACTAGGAGCTGCTGCTTGCTAGGGGCCATGCAACAGTATCCGGACGCCGTGGGGTGATCTGAAGCAGCTGCCCCAGTCTGCTTCCTCCGTTTCCTCCACAGCTCCAGTACAAATTTGGCAGGATGAACACGCTGTTGGCTCTGGGCAGCAACACTGCAGAGGCAGGCGGGGAAGCGACTGCCCCGCGAGCAGGGCACGTGTGAGCCCCAGGGCTCTGCGGTGTCCCTGCTGCCTCCAGGACTGGGACAGGAGCGGCGGCAAGGCCGGTACTCAGCTCCCGCAGAGCGCTCTGTGCTGGACGTCCTGGCCAGACCCAGCGGGGCCCCGACACGCTCAGGTACGCGGTGCTGGGAAGGGGAGCGCAGGAGCCACAGAGGCTGCTCTGAGCCCATCCCCAGCTGCTCTCCGGGACAGCTGGTGTCCGTTCGCGCAGCCTGCACAACAGGACCTGGCAGGAAGGGGCTGCGAGGCCGGCGGGGGGACCCCTCCAAAGGAGCCAGCCCTGCTGGGAGTGCCAAGGATGCTGTCACGCTGTCTGTTACGTGGTGCGCAGCCCTCCCCTTGTCCCCCCAGCGTGGGTGGCTGCTCAGCAAAGGACTTGTCCATCCCACACACTGCCCCATGGCACCCACAAGGGCTGTGCAGCTCCAAGGCCACCTAAAAGGGCAGGTTGGTGGAGGCTGAAGCGTGACGTCCTAGCTGTGGAATGTCTGCCTGTCCAGCCACCCAGCAGCAGAGATGCAGAGACCTTCACGACCCTCTTTTGACAGCACTGAGGGGCACCAAAACTATCCTAAAACTCCCAGCCAAGAGTCTGCAGCAGTGAGCTAGGTTGACTCCAGCCAGTGGAGTTATCCCCAGTATCTCCCTCAGGACTGGCTCATGCCATAGCGCGGCAGTGATGTCCCCCTACCTGAAGCCATCTCTGCTCCTATAAGAGAGGAGTCCCGCAGCCCCAGGTAGAAGTTTCTCGTGGACGTCACAGCCCTGCCAAGGAGCAAGTCCTGCAGCTCTGAGGAGGAGGGCTGCCCCCTCTAACACACACACAGGGCCAGGAATGACTGTATCTGGCCTGGTGTGTCCAAGGACTTCTTGGCCCTACCATGGAACAGCCCAAGCTTCCCAGGATCATCTAGTCCCCATCCTCAAAGTCATATTTTGGGGGATGTTCCGGGCTAACCCAGAGTGTGACAATAGCAAGGACAATGGAAGAAATCTAAGTGGAGAGGAGAAGGCATCAGACATCCAGCAACTCCCCAGAGCAGCTTCCTACTCCCCAGGGCCAGCACCTCAGACCAGCCCTTTGATGAAGCTCGTGTCTAAGTGCACTATCAGCATGCGAAGGAAGGACATTTCTTTGCGTGTGTTCTCAAAGATAATCCGAGGGTCATCAGATTGACAACGCAGGCAGTTGGGGGCCATCACCATAGCCAGGTTGTTGACATCCATCTTTGTTGTGCCCACATTTGATGGCTGGGCAAAGATCTGCAAGCAACAATGAGAGGTTCAGCTGGAGCAGTGCGAAAAGACAAGAGATTCCAAACATGTGGCCCAACAGAAGGTGCAAGGGCAGGAGAGCTGTGGCCTCCCTACAGAAGGGAGATGCCCCAACAGCCCCACTCCCAGTGGAAGGCCTCTGCCACAGCTGGTGGCGTGGGAGCCTCCACAGACAGGGAATGTCTCACAGCTACCAGGCTGTCCCTTTGGGACCACAGTCCACAAGACTAGGAATCAACACAATTTATAGCTCCCATACTGACAGGGCCAGCAGAGCTTATGCCCCCTGCCATCAGGCCCCCTTCAAACAGAGATGAGTGGTGCTGACACTCTGGTGGCCGCTCGCAGCCATCCCTGCGCCAGGCTGCGGGGGTGGTGGAGGCCGCGCGGGGCTGCCTACCTGCAGGAAGTGGATGAGGTAACACAGCACCAGCCTGTTGAGCTCCGGCAGGAGCTGCACCACAGCCACTGCGGCGTCGGGGTTCTCGTAGTTGCTGATGCACTCCTGGTAGAACTGCTGGGGGATCACGGGCTCCTCCAGCTCCCGGTACCACAGCTTGAGAAGAGAGGCTGGACACAAAGCAAGTGCATGAGCAAAGCTCCAGTCATCTCCTCGCCGCGCCTGGGTGCGGGATGAGACCGCGGAGCCGTCTGGCTACGCGGGGCCACGGGGCTCGCGACAGCTCAGCCAGCCCCGGCACGGCAGGGCCATGGCAGGGTGCGGAGGTGGCACAGGACGTCCCCGAGCTGCCGGTGTATGGGGAGAACGGGTCCTTCCTGCCCTGCACTAGGCAGTGTTAACACACACGGGCAAATCTTGGGTGTCACTGGTAAGAAAGGCTCTCTTCTGGCTTTGTTTTGCAGAGACAAATTTGACAGCAAGACTGAACAACTCGGGGACCAGAAGCCAGAGAAAGGTTCTGTTTCACCTTGTTTGAGTCTTGGCTTTGAAAGTCCTGGATAGGCCAAACATCTCCTGAGAGGGAAATGCTGGCTCTGATCTACCTGCCCTGCCAAGAAGCAGCTCCAAGGCCACCTAAAGGAAAGGGTGAGTCGGAGCCCTCCAGAGAAGCAGGACTGCTCCTGAGCACGCGCAGGCGCTCGTAGGGGCAGCGGCCCGCGCGTCACTGCGGGCAGGACGTGGGGACGCAGCAGAAAGTCACCAGCCCTGCTGGTGAAGATGGCTTTGCCCACGGAGCAACGTGGCAGGTAGCTGTCCCCAGACAGCAGCAAGTCTCCTGCCTTCCCTTCCCCTCTGCACCAGAACTGCGCAGCATTCCCGTACCTGGAACGTTGGGGTCGCTGAGGCCGCTCGGGATTCTCCACTGATCCACCTGCAGCTTCAGCGCGTTGACCTCGTCTATGTCACCAGGCACCCTGCAAACAGGGGCAAGGCAGGGAAGCTGCAGCGGGTGTCCGCGGCGCTTGGCCGCGCAGCTCGGAGACCCGCTGGCCGCCCGAGAGGCCTCAGCAGCACTGTGCTGCTCGTGCCAGACATGGCTTCACATCGGGATTTGCAGAAACACTTGTCTCGTTCCTGCTAGCTTCAACACCAACCACCACTTTGGCCTCGGGAGCTGGTATTTCCTGTAACTGCACTTCCCTGGGACATTTTTTGGTCTAGAGACATGGACGGCTCTGTATAAACAGGCGAAGACAGTAGAAAGTGCTCAAGACAAAGTTGGGTCCTTTGCTGGCCACCCTTAGATTGAGTTTAACAACTGAAAAATTAACAAAAATCTTAAAAAAAAAAACAACAAAAAACCCACTTCCAAAAACTAGAAGCTCTGTACTGATCATATGGATTCTTTGTGTCTCCCGGATCCTCACGTGCTCGCCCAGGTGCAGAATGCCCTGACGGCTGTGCAGCAGCAAGGCTGCAGGGAGCATGTGACGGCTGCTCCCGCTTGGCACATTGCCATCTTTTCATAGCGCCGTTTGGTCACTGGAGGGTGCTCGAACTGCCTTCCAGCACAACATGTTCAGGGAGATCCCACACTTGATAGTTACCTGTAACTCCTTCTCAAGTGTTTAATACCTGTCGCAAGCAGGCAAAAATAAACCAAAACCAAACCAAAACAAGAAAACCCCAAAACCAAACCAAACAAGCAAACCCCAGCAAGCCCATGTTTAGGGCACCTGCACTAAGAGCAGCACAAGCTACTTGGCCACGGTCGGCAGGGAGCAGTTGTGCTCCATGTTGCCGCTGTCGCCGGAGCCCTGGGCGCTCAGCAGAGCGCTCCGGCTGCCTCTGCCGGGCGAGGAAGGGCAGGCGAAGAGGCCGGTAGAGAGCAGCCGCTTGGGGCCCTGGGCCGGCCATGGCTGGGAGGGGAGGGGGTGCCCTGCTCGCAACTCCCGCGTGGGAGCACGCGGCCCAGGCCAGGCATGCAGCGGCAGGCAGCCCCTCGCAGGGCACAGCAGGGCAGGGGAAGCTGCTGCCTGCGATTCGGGACCCGGGTTGGAGCAATGACAAGAGGCTGAGCCACCGTGCGGGCATGGGTAGCTCCCCACCAGGAAGAGCAGGGGGAAGCAAAGGCTTTGGGGGTTAGAGATCTGGGACAGAGAAGCTTCCCATTCTAAGCCCGTCCTTCTGCAAGGGACACTGCAAGTTACAAGTAGCAGGGCACCAGGCCACAGTTTGGTCCCAAGATATGTCCCAGTCAATCTAGCTCTCCTCGCAGGCAGTCACTCCACTCTAAGCAGCAGCTCCCAGGAGCAGAGGAACATTCGGGGCTCAGAGAGAGGCACAAACCTTCCCAGGAAGATGGAGAAGGAACCCACCGCGCGAACCGAGGATGCTGCAAGAACAGCTCACACCAAACACGGCAGCCAGGTGCTCCGTCGGGAATCCAAGGCCTGTCCCTTCCCTGCACAGACCAACTGCAGTCATTTAGGCTGACAGAAGTTCTGCACTGTGCCTGGGCACTTGCTGTCCTAAGTAGTTCGGATCATATCTATAAAGAATAATCTCCCCTCTGTGCTAATGCACACAAATTGTCTAATGCTACCAAAAGAGGTGATTCCCAAACCTTTAGGAAAGGTTATTTTTTGTCCAACCTGGAACAGAGTGTTATTGTCGTTATTGCCAGGAAAGGGAACCATGTGGAGGTCAGTCTGGATTTCTTGACTTTGAGAGGTGAATGCATCAAAAGTAACACAAAGGCCCTATGGCTCACCTGAAAATGCCTTCCGTCTGTTCTCCGCCCAGTGCCAGGACCTGCTGCGACAGCTGCGTTTGCACCCAGGGCAACCTGTTCCCAGGGTGCGTGTCCTGCTGCCGCAACATGATTTCCTCCAGAGAGCTGCCGAAGAGCGACGGCGTCACGATGGCATTTCTGGCATGCGTTATCTCCTCCATTGTTGGTTTGCGGAGGCCCTGAGGACAGAGGAGAGCTCTATGCAGCTGCCGCCATGCGCGACGGCTGCTCTGAACCCACACGCGCTCAGCCCGGGGGCTCAACCCACTAGGCCGAAAACGAGCAGCAAAGCAGCAGCCCCACGGTGGGAGGCAGTGCTGGAGCGTTTGGCCTTCGGGCCCTGCTGCTGTATTTTGACCTCTGCATCCGCCCTCCCCGGACGTGGTGGCTCCGGAGGGCTGGGTTGGCAGGAGGAGCAGGGCCCGAGCTCTCCTCAGGCCGTGGCCGGGCCAGCAGAGGGCATACAGACACCGTCGCCCGCAGCCCGCAAATGCAGCGCCACAGGACAGCGCAAAAACAGACCTTCAGGAGAGAAGAATTTCGGGTATGCCCAACTCTGGGGTCCAGCTGAAGCCAGGGAAAAACTTAGTTTTCAGAAGCACTAAATGCCTCGGCAAAGCAGGCACCAAGTGCCACGCTGGGCACACGGGACATGCTGCTCCTGCCAGACACGGACACTTGACAGGAGCTTGTGCTCTGAAGTCGTGCGAGGAGGACACAGTGTTCCCGCTGCGCGGCGGGACGGGAGAGCCCCGTGGCCTTGCTGCACCTGTGTGGACAGGGGAGCCCCATGGCCCTCCCTGTGCTCATGGGGACAGGGACAGGAGAGCCCCGCGGCCCTCGCTGCGCCCGCAGGTGGCAGCCGCTGCACGCGACGTGTCTGCGCATTCCCTGCTCTGTCCTGCGGACGTGGTAGGCTTCCCCCCTCCTGAGGTATTGCAGCTATTCGCGTGCTGTACACGGAGCGCAGATGGCAGGGAGGCCCCATGGGATTTGCAGAAATAAAAGGCAGCCGGATCTGGCTCAGAGACCCGGGGCGGACGGGCCAGGGTGGTTGCCAGCGCCTGCAGCCCCGTGCAGGGTTGTGCAGAGGAAAGGGAGGAGGGACATTCCCAGATAACGGAAGCACGAGGCTCCTCTCCAGGCCAGGCACTTCTGCAGCCCTTTTCTGCACTGGAAATGGGCAATAGTGCAGGAAATCCGCTGCAAGAGCAGGTCCCTGGAAGTGCTCAGTGAGCAGAGAGGGAGTCCTCTTTCCCCTGAGGAATCCAAGCTGGTTACACCAGGGCACCAGACAGCTCCCGTGGCCTTGGGGATCGTCAAGCACCGAGGCCCTAACGCGGGTGGGCGCCCAGCCACGCAGCCCCAGCACAGCGGGCCCTGGGCACCTGTCCTGGCAGCCCGGGTGACAGCGCCCTGGCCCAGGCTGCCCACAGGGCTGCGGCGCCTCCTTCTCCGCAGACTCAAAACCTGTCGGGACGTGATCCTGTGCCAAGCTGTAGGTGAGCAGCTCAGGCAGCAGGGTGCACTGCGTGATCCCCAGAGGGGCCTCCAACCTTAACCCTGCCGCCACTCGGTGACTCATGGGGAGACAAGGCTCGTGCGGCCTCCTCTGCTCCTATCACCATTCTCCATCACTGAATCAGCGCTGGCCTCCGCGAGCCCTGACCGGGCGTCTCTGGGGCCGGGAGAGCAGAGCGGCCCGGCCGTGCAGTCTGGCACCTACTCACCTTCTTGCCCCCGGTGATGGCTACTTTCTGGAGCTTCCGGTAGCAGTACTTGGCGTAGGTGCTGATGGGCAGCCCTGGCGGGAAGAAAGTACATATTGAGGACTTAATTATTGCTAGATCTCTGGGAAAAAAAAAAAAAAAGAGCATCCAGAGCCCGGAAAGTTTTTGAGTGTTTTAAACAAATCGTGTAGAATGGAGAACTGCAGGACCGGGCTGCTGAGAGAGGCAGTGTCGGAGCAGGAGGCACAGGGCTGGGGAAGCGGCGCGAGCACGGAGACAGGTGGGACTGCAGGGAGAGGCGCAGGGAGGCCAAGGGGCTGCTGCCACCGGCCCCATGGCCGTGGGGCCGCCCTCCCGGCACACGGGAGAGCGGGGCCACGCCGGGAGCTCCCGCACCACTGAGCGCCGACTGCTCCAGAGGTTCTCTCCAAACCCGTTGGCCTTTTGTTCTCTCGCTGAAAGCACTGAACAGATCTGCCCTAGTTGACTCCTTGCCAGACTCAAAGCTTGCAGCTGAGTTCAAAACACTCGTGGCTTTTAGATCTCCAGTCCGGTGAGCGGCTGCCTATTCCACACGCGCTCTGCAGGGGCTGGGGCTGGGGCCCTGGAGCTCCTC